TCCTCCTCCTCCTTCTCCTCCCTCTCCTCCTCCTCCTCCTCCTTCCTCTCCTCTTCCTCGTTCTCCTCCTCCTCTTCCTTCTCCTCCTCCTCCTCCTGCTCCTCCCCCTCCTCCTCCCCCTCCTCCCCCTCGCCCCCCCGCGAGCGCACGCAGCGATCACGCCCCCCTCGCCGCACACCTCGCGGGGCGGAGGCTCTCTGGAGAGCGGCTCGGTCCGCCTACCGCTTCGTCACCGAGGCCGGATGGGGAGGGGGGCAAGGTCGGCTGCGAGGGGCGGAGGAGGAGCTTTATACTGTTCAGACGGGCGTGTTCCTCTACAGGAGGGAACATGAAACATAGTTGAACAATAGTCTGGGGACGATTTTTTGAGCATTGTTTGGCCACTGTTGACCATCGCTTATGCTTCCCCCCAAATCCGCCTGTAGGGGGACATGCCCGACCTATTCATACTGCTGCCCTGCCCTCGTCGCCACGGCCAGGTATGCCGCAAGTCCTGGTCGGACGCCCCCGGAGAGGTCCGTGGAGCAGCGGCATCGGGTACCTTTGTGTCCCCCCAGTGGAGGAGGATGAGGGGCGCGGGATGATGGGGATGAGGAGCAGGGCAAGCTTGGCTCGCTCGCGCCATATCTGACATCCTGCCCCTCCCACCCAACCCTTCCCCTTGCGCTGCTGTTTCTTTACTCGCGGGCGCGTGCCATCGCGGACCTGAAAAAATCCCAAACGAGACCTCATCGTGTGTTGCGCAAGCGGAGAGAGGGAGCTGGGCAGGAGGGACAGGAGTATGAGGAAGAAGGAGGAGGACGAGGACGAAGAGCAGCAGCCAGAATTGGAGTAGAAGGAGCGAGATGAGCAGGACGGCCAGGAGATGGCGGAGGAATGGAGAGGAGGGGGTCGATAACGATGAGGAACGACTCGGATCCAGAAAAATGGCGCGCACTGGGGCCAGCACGCCATTCTGACGAGCGCCGATCTGGAAGTGAGGCCCACGCTGCAGCGGTAACACCGACGTGCCGAAACATAATCGGATCGCATCGAATTATATGAACAACCTTTTTTTGATTTATTTTGCGGTCAAGATTCGCGAGTCACCTTCTGGACAGATTCAGGGGAGAGATGAGAGTAGTATTCATCATGTGCAATTGCTGACGAGGATGGGAAGAGTGAGGAGGAGGAGGAGGAGGAGGAGGAGGAGGAGGAGGAGGAGGAGGAAGAGGAAGATGGGGAGGAGGATGAGGAGGATGAGGAGCAGGAGGATGAAGAGTGGTATGTGGAGGGGGAGGGGGAGGAGATGGGGAGAAGGAGGCGGAGAAGGAGGACGAGATGGGTCGGGGACGGGTGTGTGTGTGTGTGTGATGGCGCGGGAGGACGGCGGCGTCGTGGGAGGAGGGTGGCGATAATGAGGATGGATGGATGGATGGTTGGGTCGGGTCCGAGCCTCAGCAGCTGCAGCTCGCTCGGCGGAGGTTCGAGGAAGCCGGTGTTCGTCCTGAAGTGCAGAGCACGTGCCGGCAGTGAGGCGTTGGGGAGCGCGAGGAGCGCCCGCGGGGGCCCATGGGCCAGCGGACCCTCTTGGGGCCCCTCCTGGGCCCCGGAGCGGTCCAATCTCGGCAAATGTGTGCAGGGGTAAGTCGGGCCTGTCCGTCTACAGGAGGAATCTCAAAAAACGGGCACGAACTAGTCTGGGGACGATTCTTGGGGCATTGTGCGACCATCGTGGGGCATTTTGTTGACTACGTTATAGTTTTCGTCCAAAATCCCCCCGTAGGGGGACAGGCCCGACCTAAGCCTTGGGCCCAGAATCCCCTCGGCCCCCCAAATTGAATACAGCAAGCTGATAGCGTCTGGACCTCCGAACAGTTGCCCTAATCGTGCCCGCACTGAAGCTGTCCAATGCACTTTCGTTTGCCTAGCCTCTCGAGTAGCTCTCTTTCTGGCCCTCACACCAGCATTGGGCCGGCTCGACCGGTTCGGGTTGAACGGTTCGGTTCCACAGGTTCGCGTTGACCGTTCGGGCTGGTTTCGATCGGCCGGTTCGATTCGAATCAGCCGGTTCAGTTTCAGCCTGTCCGGTTTTGGCGGTTCGGTTGCATGAGCCGCCAGTTCACGGTTACCATTTCAGTTCAATTTTTTCCTGTCACATTGGTTGCTTTGGCCATGGCTCGGACCTCACCGAGGTGGGATTTGGGTGGGTGCGGCCAGGTCTCAGGAGGGGGCTCGGCTGAGCAAGGCTATGCTCGGTGTGCTTTCTGACCGGCGGGCGCTGCTACTCACTTCTCCTCTTTGCCCAAGCGCTTGCGCAAGATGGCCTGCAGCCTGGCGCTCGAGGGCCGACTGCCGCGGGCTGCCTTGGATGACTGGCTTCGATCTGAATCGTGGTCATCATCATGATGACCCTCACCGCTTTATGGGGCGCGATATCTCCTTTCTCCACAGATTTCGCCACTGCTGCCGTCTGCTCGATATCCATCTTCTCGATCAAGCTCTTGCGCGTCTCGGCGCACAGCCAGGGGCTTGGGGCGAACGGGTTCATCATCATGTGCCTCTTCCATTTTGAGGCCTCGTTCTTCTCTGCGCATCCTGACTGGACCCTGAAGAAAGGGAAGATGTCGCCGAACTCCTCGCAGTCATGAACTCCCTGAATGCCATCATCTGCTGCAGCGCAATCTTCAGCTGCGCTGGGAGCTACATCTCTGCCGCTGCTCCGATGAACCTGGCTAGTACCTGGTGGCGCGGTGGCCCGAGGTTCTCGACTTCCTTCTTGGCCTGCTTTGAATATCCCGTCCCTGCGTCCTTCGCCGGCTGATCGCGTGGCTGGTGCCGTTGTAGGTTGCGAAATCCCACGCCGCTCTTGCGATCTGCTGGAGAACGGATTGTGATGAAGGGCAGTACATTGGTGCGAGTCGTGGGTCGCTGCGATGAGTGACGATAAGAGGTGATTACGGGGGATGAGATCCAGGCGGAGTTGGGGAATAGGGTGGAAAAGGGGGGGGGGGGGTGTGAGGGGGGGGGCGAGGACGAGTTCGGGGAGCAGGCTACGCCGACGACGATGAGCTGAGGCCCCCGGCCCGCCCCAGGCCATAGGCCACCCAGCCACGGACATCATCTTGATGGGCCGAAGTCTGGGCGCAGCGATCGCCACGCGGCTGGCCAGCGTCTCCGACTGCCACGGGCTCCAATTTCCCGCTTCCCGCCGCCGCCGCCGCATCCGCCGCATCCGCCGCCGCCGCCGCCGCTGCCGCCGTCGCCGCCGCCGCCGCCGCCGCCGCCGCCGCCGTCGTCGTCGTCGTCGTCGTCGTCGTCGTCGTCGTCGTCGTCGTCGTCGTCGTCGTCGTCGTCGTCGTCGTCCGCCTTGCCCCGCCCGGTCCACTCCCGCCCGCCACATCGCCCTCCTTTCTAATCCCTTTCCTCCCCTCGTCCGCCATCCTCTTCACATCATGCCTCAGGAGCGCCGTCTCGACGGCATTGGTTCGTCCTCCATTTCGCAGGCAGAAAAAGCACCCCGACGCCCACGATTTGTGCTTACACTAAGGGGCCCCTAGGCGTTTGCGAGACAGCCCTGCTCTATCCGATTCCTTCCTTGGGTGCGTTTGCTGAACGCCTGTGCTTCTCGGGGTGTTTATTCTGAGGGCGGCTTTGTCCACGCTCATCAGCAGGTCCGCGCCGAGAAGCCGGTGTGGCCTGGTGAAGGATTCTCTCACGGTGTGCCCCCAGACCACTTCGGAGCAGCGTCGTCTCGATTTCGTTGCTTTGTTCGAGAAAAAAACGGCATAAACATAAACGTTCGACGGTCCGTGCGGAATTCGCGGATATGCGCTGGGACTCCCTGGCGGCGCCTCCAGCGCCGCCCCTGGTGCGCTCGGCGCTTCGCGCCGCCCCTGGTGCGCTCGGCGCTTCGCGCGCTAGGGAAGGGGGGTCCAGTGCAGATTCAGCAAATCCTCGCGGATTGTCGACAGTGGATGCTTCTGCTTTTGTTTTTTCTCTTGGTTCATCATTGACGGGTTCGCGCCGAAAACTGGCGGAAGACAGCTAGAGTGGTTCGGGGGCGGAAAAGAGGGGGGTGATGACTAGGTGGGGGTGGATATCATGGCGGGGGCCATGATATTTCCCCAGATTTCATTGCGCCTCTTCTTGTTTCATTACGTCCCTGGCCCCCCCCCCGCTGGGCCGCGCACATGCCGCCGGTAATGATTTGCCCCCCCCCCCCCCCTCGCCCCCGCGGGGCCTCTGACTTCGATGCTCGTTTCGGGGACCTTCCTGGAGCCCACCTAACGGATTTGTTCGACCCCAGTTCGACTCAAGTTCGACTCAAGTTCAGATCAAGTTCGACTCAGGTTCGACTCAGGTTCGACTCAGGTTCGACTCAGGTCGACCCAAATCGACTCACGTTCGACGCAGCTTCGA